TCGAGTCGTGGTCAATTGGGATCACCCCGTGACAGGCGCGGTGATAAACTCTAATCGCATCGAGCGGCGGCGGTTTTTGGAAGACGCTGGCAATGTAGTGCTAGAGCGAGTGCGAAACGCTGTAGAAAGACACGGCAGTGTGAAAGTGAACACAGCGTTCAACGGCGACTTCGTGACGAAGGATAAATCATGGTGGAAATATATATGGTGAAGCAATCTGATAGATGCGCAGTAGGGAAGTGCATATTCAGACATATTTGATTGGCTATTTCCAGTATTGCTACCGCCATTATGCGTATTGTTTCACCTTATATATTTCCACCATGGGATAAACGTTGCTACTAAGAGCATATTATAATTACAATCGATGGACCGATATACGCGAGTGGAACGATCTGCACGTCGTCGAGCCTATCTTGACATCGCTCGAAGAGTTCCAGGAACGCGGCAGCAGGTGGGCGCTGTCCTCAATTTGATTGTTAACGTGAACAAACTAAATCCCATGCGCGCGGGATGTCACTTCGAGGTACCGCGAGAAATTATGCTGAAGAAAGCGGTGGTCAGTATGAAATCCAAGGTCAATGCGTGCTTCGCGTGGTCAGTGGTCGCCACTGTATACCCGGCTAAAAGTAATGTGAATAGAAAATCGCCGTACCCGCATTAAACTGCAGTGTTAAATCTCGTGGGTATAGAATTTCCGATAACGTTCAAAGACATTTCCAGAGTTGAACATTTGAACGCGGTGTCGATCAATGTATATGGCATTGAAAATGGGCAAGTCCTTCCTCTGCGACTCATAGGCGATGAAAAGGAGAAACACATCAATCTCCTGTACCTACAAGATCCACACAACGACAGCATTAGCCACTTTGCGTGGATTAAGAACTTATCGCGCCTCGTGACATCGAAACTCACAAGAATGGAGCACAAGAAATATTTCTACTACCGGTAAGTATAATAAGAAAAGTAAAACAATAAAAAACAATATGTGAAAAAAAATATGTGAAAAAAATTATTTCTTTATTTACAGGTGCCTACATTATTTTGGTTCGGG